CATCGAAGATAAATTTTGCGATACTGACGATTCCATGCAAAAAGCTTCGCCCCGCTTAGTTTAGTTCGGTTATCCGGCAAAATCTCTATCAGACACATCCCTAATTTGTATTGAAATTGCTTTCAAATATACACCTCGGTGTATGTTCAACTTAACTCACTTCATATTTTTTCAACAAAACCAAAAAATTGTTAAAGAGTTGGAGATGTTTGGAAAACTGATATACATACATAGTTTGGGAAACTTTTGTAAAAAACGTTTGGAAAATATTAGTGTTATTCGCGCTTCTGTTATTCGCTGCATCCTGCGTAAGTGTAACTGGACGAGCATGTGGTTGTTGTTGCATGTGTATTTGATGTACCGCTAGCAACAACAAATCACACGCTCGTGCAGCTACGATTACACAACATACAACGAATACACAGAAGAGCGAATTCCCCTATTGGTTAATAAATGAGCATTGAATCATTGGTATTGTATGCATATGTACATTCGTATGTTTGCACATAATTTTATGTGGAATATTAAAAAGAAAATATTTGCATTTCATAGCGAAGACGTATTAAAAACCTAAAAATGTTGAAATAGGTTGCTCATACGCACCGTCAACTATGCGTGCTCTTGCAAAAAATTAGTGTTTTTGAAATGAATTTGGCTGCAAACGAATCATCTTTCAACTAGAATCTGTTGTCATAAGACTCAATTGTCTTCGATAAATCGAAAGCCGCGTAGGCCTTCAATAATAGGCAAATAGGCAAAATAAAAACATCCAGAGCAAGCAAATATCGACCCACAAACACATTACTACCTTTTAAAAGCTGCTCTAAGCTTCTTATGTAATTCGCGCCATAAAAAAAAAATATTAAAGAAAATTAAATATTTGATAAACAGCGACTAACTACATACAAATGTGTGCATATGGCTCTATGTACATACATATCCATAGGCGCTTTTGTATGCACAACAGCAAGTAATCGTAGTTTATTGAAGCGAAGAGCGAATCGATGGCGGGGACCGTATTTTAAAACTATTGTGTATTTAATGGATATCCTATCGTTGTCAGGTCGGTCTAAATTCAAATAAGGTACACACGTGCATATATGTATATTACACGAGTATGTATTACTAAGCTCTATGTATAATACGTGCATATCTATGTATGTATATATGAACGAGTGGTTCTCTGTATGTACACCAGTACTATTTTAGCAGCTATGTATGTATGTATGTATGTTTTTTGTAAATGTGTATATGTAAATACGTAAAAGAGTGAAAAAAAAAATGTTTAACTACATCCAGCATCGCTGTATATCGATTGTTTGAACGATGTGTGAGAAGTGAATTTTTATTTGAATTTTCTATTTTGTTTGTGGTTTAAGTACATATGTATGTAAATATGTATGTATGAGCAACATCTGCTGCTTGTTGAAGCTGCTGATCAATTTGACCTGTTATTTGAACAAATTTATTTTATCTAAAGCATTTAGTTTGAGCGATTTTAACTATTTAATTGATAATATTTATTTTGAATTTATTTGCTTTTATTTCATTCTTAATTATAACTTCGTGTATAATACATAAAAATTTTGTACGTTGCTAAAGTATTACGTGCATTGAATTAAAAAAAAAAAAAGTTTGTGCTAAATGTTTTTTTTTTTTTTGTTATTTTACTACTCAATTTTTTAGCTTTGTAAACTGACCAGTACGTTTTTTTGCTGCTTAAATTAGAGTTGGTGTGTTGCTGATTATATTTGATATTTAAAGTTTTCGGCTCTTTCTTTGTTTTAAAATTTCCCTACTATAAATTACGTTAAAGTCTTCTATTTCGATTTGTTTGATTCGTTTTGATTTGAATTCATTAGCAGTTAGCTTTAAGTTATTTTTTGGCTTAATATGAATTTATGACCTAATACGTAAATGGTTGATTTCATCCATTTGTATTTTTCATCTGGTTTTTATATTTTTGTAAATGAAATCTAGGTATTAGAAAAATGCATTGTAGTTTAACGTTTGAATATTTGTTATCAGCTTCGATTTTATTTCGTTTTAAAGTATTTTTTGATATATATTTCTTTCTGATCCCTATTTGTGGCATTGCAAATTTTTGCGCCTGCTTAATTTCTGATTTACGTTGTTGTAAAATGCAGTTTAAAGATAATCTTGAAAAGTGAAGAAAAATTATGCAGAATTTAAAAATAAACTATCTGGACTATTACACGTCAGAAAAATCAGCATTTTAAAAGGGTATACCGAATTTCGTCAAACTTTGTGGAATCGTAGTTCTATATTAGAAAATCTGTCATTTAAAAGTATTTTGAAAAAAAATCGAAATTTAAGAAGATGCGCCATTTTGATTTTCACTATTAGTTCATCAAATTTGTGGTATTTTGGACTATTATGCATGGATTTTATGAAGCTTATACAAGTTTTCGCTAAAATTATACATTTGAAAATAAAGTCAATAAAAAAATGAATTTTCATAAAAAGGAATTATTGTTTTTTTACTACTTTTTATAAAAAAATAATATTTTTTTTACTGGAAAGATGTGTAAGTTTCATAAAAATTTTATAAAATTAACGTATAAATTCAAAATGGCGTATCTTCTAAAATATTTTTTTTCGATTCCAGAAGTCTCACGTATGTCCGCATATCCTGAGAAAATGTTAATATTTGAGACGTATAATAAATAGCCCACTTGCAATTTAAGAAATTTGTGCGTACTCTTATATTTGAATTTTTCGTTGATATAAAAAATAACAGTAAATTTGTATGTGTGCGCGTGTTTGTGTACTTTAACAAATATACATATATACCTACCAGTATTTCTATTCACACCAACAAGCTAATAGTTTATGCGTTTCTTTACATTTCTCACTTAAAAATTACTTACGGCTTTAGTTAAATGAAAAGTGAATTTTTAATTCGCCCAATGCATTGGTTGACTTTTGTAGATTGTTTTAATTAAAAGCTACTTATTTTTGTTTTAAACTTTAATCACACTGTATTTGACTTTGTATTGAATATGTATGTATGTATGTATGTATATATCTGGCGCATACGTAGTAACACTGTTGTCTTGCATTGATGTCAATTAAAAACCAAAAGTGCATAATTGTTTAACAGGTGGCAATTGTTTCATGGCATACGTCCCCCGGTTTTTTCTGGATTCTATAACTCATTTGATATTATTTGCATATAGAAATATGCAAAGAACATAGATTATATGTCCTTATGCAAAAAAAAGAAAATATTTAATTTCGATAAGGTACGTCCAATGTATCATGTACAATCATCAACTGTTTACTTTATGCTTCCACAAAAAAAAAACACTATATTTTTTGCCAAATACCTAGAAATATGTATCTGAAGTCAGCTCTAATTTTGCCCATAAATATATGATTCATTGGACAGGGAACCTGTTAATAATATTTCCTTTTTCCAATGTTCTTTATATGGAGTACTAAAATATGCATTGTAAAAATCCTTAGTACTTTTGTATTAAATGTCTAGACGGAATATATGTATATGAATGTGTTCACTTTTGACTGGGGTTTTCAAGAACTATTTTGTTTGCCATCAAATAAGTACATATGAATGTATATACATTAGGCCGTACCACCTTACCAGCAACCAAAATAATGTTCGCCATACAACCCTGGGTCTAAAAGGGATCTCCTTATTTGATTTTTCTGTGACACGTTCGGCAATACAATTTTTTTTTGATTGCCTTGTACCGCGTATTTTTTTTTCAGGTACGGTCTAATGTACATATTTATGTTGATTCAGTATACCTTGTATGTATCCCGTATGCGAAGATTTTTATTGACCAAAGAAGTGTATTACTTTGCAATTTCATTTTCCTTAAATTTTTCCTACTATGTGCTTAAGTGTTTTCCCACTTCCCCATTCGTTAAGTAGCCTAGGCTTACAGCATACAGAATTACGGCAGCAATGATTACAGATTCCATATAAGTGCAATTAAACTGTTAGCTTCCTGTATTTTGGCCTGTCCGTACTGAATATTTTTTAGGCATTAAAATTTTCTCACTTTTCGCTGCTCTTGAATTAGTGCATGGTAACTAAACTGTTCTCAAACGTACGACATTTCTTCTTGAATTATTTCATGTGGAAAGCAGTATTACAGCGTTGAACATATATATATGTAAGCATATAAATAAGATTTTCAAACTGTTCCCACTCATAACTTTGACTCTAAATACGCAATGCGTACGTTGAAAGACACAAGTTTATCTTGCTTAAAAAGAAATAACGTTTTTATGACATAATGAGATTGATTTGAAATTGTTCCCAACCCGATTTTTACGTTTCCTATTTTTTTCAGATATTAATTAAAACGTAACTAATAGCGCGCATTATACCCAAATAAAAGTGTCACAAAATTAAATTAATAAAATATTTTATCTGCGTTTTATTTTCCTCTTTTTTCTCCTTCTTTCCGTTTTCAGCGCCTGTCAAAAAAGAAAATTCCATTTGCTTTATTGTCGGATGCTTCATACAAATTGTAAGGGCATGAGTATTTTCAATACTTCTTTGGCGCTTCACGTGTTAATAGCGTGGGATAGCTGTTCATGACTGATTTTTAAAATAATTTTGTTGATTAAGCCCTCTAACTTCATCTTTTTGCAGAATTTTGATGCAAACAACAGTGCTACCTTCCTTCCATTTTCTTTGTGAAAATTTCCGAGTCATCTTAAACTTAACTTTTTAATACACATTTACAATGGTCAACATCTAGTATATATGTATTTTTCATTTATTCAGTACGCATATCCCAGTTGGCAGCTACTTATTCATAGATTACACATTAATTATTGTATCGCTCAACGGCCTCTACACAAACATTTCTAATTGATTTTAATAATAAAACAATTTCTCCCACACATATGCACATACACATAAAGACATGTACGTAGCTCTATTATACTAACTATAATTGGTAAATATATATGTACGTACGGACATTTAGCAATTCATACTTAAAGCAATGGATCAAATAACTTAACAACGATTTATCTGCCTAGCTGCTTTTGATTTAAGATCAATTGTCGTGAGTTATCCATATGAAATTCTTCCATTTGACAGTAAACAAGGTATCTGCAGAATGCAACGAGGACCACAGATATTCAGTTTATATCATTTGAATTTTTTTTTATTTTTTTTTTTATTTTTTTTTTCAAGTTTGTTGTTGTGGTTGAGGTATGCATGTTTGTGAGAAGAACATATCGTTGACAAAAATGGGAGAAATGACGAAAACGATGTTGGTTAGTTTGGTTTTGCTTTTTTTTGGCTTGCGTATTTTTTTATGACTTTTTATTTCTTCTATGAGAATTCATTATTACAAAATTACTACTTATGTATGAAAATGTTTTCACAAACACATGAAGTTAATGAACTACGAGCAGTAAAAATGGATATAGTGATTAGCAGAAGTACATATATGTATGTATGTGTTTAGCACATACTTTGTACATACATATGTATGTGTGTAAACGCATAGCAAGAGAACACATTTATGTATGTTTGTATTTGTTTTGAAAAAGTATTTATTTAACTTGCTAATGAAGTTCTATTAATGCAATGGAGTAGAGGCGATAATGAAATGGTGTTATGATGATTAAAAGTTAATAGAAATTACGCGAATGCTTTTGAATGCAGATGCGAATGCAGCAAAAAAAAAAAAAAACGTAACTGGCATACACACAGATAGCGGATGCTTGGCGGGGAAGGGAAATGAGATGAATGAAGTTATGATTTCTCATGAACACGCTAAATGAAATGGAAAAAGAGCAGCTCTAGTGTTGGTGGTCTTTTAAATGAAAAATGTATTTCTATTTGTATGGTTGGTTGGTTGTTTTTTTTAGGTTGACTAATAAACCTTGAGTTTAAAAAGAAAGCTAGCTTGTTCCATACATTAAAAAATAACAATCTTATATTTTTGGCAAACGAGACTAAAGTATCGATAAATTATTAAAAATTAGGGCATTTGAAAATATAAATGGTTTCTTCCAGAGCTCGAAAATAACTATTTATCAATTCAAATGTTCGCATGGTAACGCTTATTAAATGAGAAATACGCAAGCAGTCAGTGAATAAAATGATTCTATAGTGGTTAGTGGAGAGTGTGAAAGTTTGTTACCTTTTCACCCCAAAACGGTTCGACGGATTTGGATAAAATTTGGCACATAACATAGTCTAAACCTGAATTAATATAACGTTATATTTTTTTCAATAAAAGTTGCAACCTGTTTAAAAAGTTGATATCAATTAAATTAATAACAGGGCAATTCTGGCTAAGATAGTAGGACAAATGAAAGACAGCATAAAAGTCTTAAATAAAAAGCACTCTCATTCACCACCCGTGTTGAAAAGCTATTTACAGAGAAAGCATCATTTGTATATCATTTAGCTCAGTTGCAATGGCCGAATGGGTAAGGTAGAGGAGTGCCGATTGAGAGTTCCGTGTTGGCGTTCTGACGTAGCGGTTTTTTCTTTTCTAATCTACATTTTTTAAATTTTTATTTAGGTTTTCTGATTTTTATTTTTATATTTTATGTTTTTTTTTCAATTTTAATCTAACTTCTTTTTAATTAAATTTTTTTAATGGTTTGGTTGTTATTGGTTCAAAAATAATATTTTTTTTAGTTTCATAAATTTTTTGGAACTTATTTTATTTTTCTCTTTTTTGCATAATTTTTTTAAGTTAAATTATCTTTTGATTGTTTAGATTTTATTGTGTAAGAAAAAAAACTATTTGAATTTAATTTTTTATTGTTTTGTTAATTGCATTTTCTTTTAACTTTTAGAATTTATCGTTTTAAAAAGAAAAATATAGTTTTTATTTTATTTTATTTTTAAGATCTTATTATTTTCTTTCAATGTTTTTTTTATTTTTTTTTAAATAAAAATATTTTCAGTCTATTTTAATTTTTAAGTATTATTTCCTTCTTTTTTTATTAAATGATTTTCTTTTTCTAATTTAATTTTCCTTTTATTGTTTTAAAGAGAAAAAAACATATATTTTTTTTAATTTAATTTAATTAAAAAAAAACGCATTGTTAAAAAATTGTGAAGAAAGGTTTTTTCTTAACAGCGGTCGGCCCTCGGCAGGCAATGGCAAATATTCGAGTGTATTTCTGCCATGAAAAACAGCTTCTCATAAAAGTAAATCGCCATTCGAAGTTGGCGTAAGACTGTAGGTCCGTAGGTCGAACGAAATAATTCCATATGTATTAGTTATTTAAGAGAAATGCGAAATTAAATTAAATATGGGAGTCAATCGAAAGATGTTTCGTTGCATTGTTAAATTTCTAGTACTTTCTAATTTAACTGAATCAAATTTTTTTAAGAGCTTGTAACACTTTTCAGAATTTTTTTCGAGCAAATCGCTTACGTTTCACACCATTATTGGGCCGTATGAATAAAAACTAAGCACTTGCTTTTTCTTAAAATTTCAGACCTTTTACTCGATTTATTCAAATAAATTAAAGTAAAAGGTCTAAAATTTTAAGCAAAAGCAATTACTTATTTTTTAGTCATACGACCGATTGTAATATGTATTACAGTTAACTTATTGATTTAATTAAATTAACTTTTTAAAAAGGTGGCAACTCTCTTCTAAAATATTATCGAAATAAAGCCTTCTTAAACCTCTTTCATTTCACTCATTAATTTAATTTAAATTATTAACGAGTGGAAACCCTTAACATTAAGCTTTCTTAAATCTCTTTGATTGCAATATTTAATTTACCTTTTTAATTTAATTTAATATAACTTTTTAAACACGTGGCAACTCGCATTCCAAAATACACCACATTTCACTTCAGGTTATAAACTGTTATATGAAAAATTATATCCAAATCATATCCATATCTAAATCTCAGTTGCGAACCGTAACAATGCGCGTAAACGTATATCTCTCCCGAGAGAAACCTTTATGTCGCTGCGTAGTATGACAGGCATCTGAGATATACCGAATTGGTTTTTCTGTTAATAGTTATTTTCGAGCTTTGATTTATTCTATAATTTAGTTAAAAATCCAAATCTAAAAATAGAATATTACCACTGACTTTCTGTTACAAAAAAAATATGTATCCACTTATGTATATATTTATGTAGACAAAAATTACACAGCACAACAACATTTTTGCAAGCTAGTACTTGGAATCAAAATGTGCACTAAGTATTGGATCTAGTTTTTGTGGCATTTTGAGTTTAAAGTGGCAAAACGCGATTTTATGGCACTTTTTTTTTACTTCGACAGAATAAAAGCCAATAAGAATAAGGCGCGCAATCAAGATTTTACTAATAAAGAACTTTCCGAATTTTGCGTGAAATATTTCTCCATCAAATCCATCCGTGGATTTCTGAGTGATCACGAGCCAATTATATTGGAAAATCATACTTTATTGGAGAATATGACTATAAGTGTAAATTTTGTGTTCCTTGGTGATAAGCTGTAGTACTAAAAAATGGGGCTCAAAAATTCTATCCGAAGAAATGTAGCAGTCAACTAGTTTTATGTCGAGGGCTGATTCTTGCAGAGACAAAGATGTAAATCTAGTTACTGCTGACAAGAGTATGAGCACACATCTTAAGAATTCTGAATTGATGAAAAAGAACCCGGCAAAACTTTTAGGGGTGGTATTCACGCCCTTTCGCTAGAACAATACGACGTGAGAACTGCAATAATACGGTTTAAAAACGACAAGAACACCCGGAGTCGACAACGTAACTACTGCGCTGTTTAAAGCCGGTAGCGAGTAGAAAAATTCATCAAAATTTCGAACTTTTTAGTATGGAGGAAAATGACTGAGACTAGCAGCCAAAAAGTTGCCAGAAATCAACTGCAAGTCCTAGCTAATGGGCAACAAAGCGGCATACGAAATTTTTTTTCTAAAAGTTCGATTCAAAACGTTAGAATTTTCGTAGAAAGTTTGAAATTCGGACTAACCTAATAAGATAGTTATCTGCACTTTCATAAAAAATAATAAACGTTAAATAAAAAATTTAGTATAGACTTGTTAAAATGCCGCGTCTCTATTTCTTTGCCCGACACCGTATAGTCCTGTATAGATTAAAGAATTTTAACGTTTAGCATATACATTTTTGAATGTTGTTTTTGTTTACCTTTTCATCCGCTGCTATAAAATGCAATGGATTTGATAAATTTGGGGAGAAATGTGTATCTGATCACACCAAACTCAATAAATTTTTACCGCATGGAATCTATTTATTTTATCTATTTAGCAAAGAGTTCTGCCCTACCTCAGAATTCTACTCTAATTTAGTATTCTATTACGGGATAAAAAAAAAAATATTTCAAAAACTAGAGCCAATTGCAACATTTATAACTTTAAGTTCTTTTACTGCCTATAAAATTTTATTGGAGTTAGCTCTAGCTTTGCTGAAAAATTTTGTTGGCTAGTGTTATTTAACCACAAATAAATTTTTTTTAATTTTTAGAAAAAATGTCCGTGCTGCCGATAACATTTCATTTTCATAAATTTTTAATTACATAAATAGTTTTTAAAATTACGTGTGAGGCAACTACCTGCCGTTTATGTACTGTTTCTCATTGTAAAGTGATTCATCTACATATTTTATGATGCTTAACTATTTGTATGGCAATGTGCTTGATTGCAAACTATAAAGCTATATGATTGGTGAAAAAAAAAATTATAACAAAATATAATAATAAAAAAAAAATCAATTTAATAAACCCAAAAAATAATAATAACAACATATACATATTGAAATATTTTTTCAACTCAAAAGCAGGCAAATATTTATATAATTTTGTTTTTTAATTTTTATAAATGAAAAGGACATGTATGTATGTTTATCTTCATACTAGCAAATACATTTAACAACAAAAAAATTGTATACACACTTACGCTACATACACACACAGATATACGAGTACATTTGTTGATATGATAGTACGGAGGATAGATAAAAAAAGAGTAATTGTAAATATTTCTTACCTTGCAGGCAAAATGAGCGCATCGAATTCTGTGGTGAGATGTCGTCTTATAATATTTTTTGATGGTGGTATACCCAGTGCTGTTGCCATGGTATCGCCAGAAAATGATGGTTCCAATACGACAAGGCCGCCATGCACACCGCTGTCTGTAAAAGTGTAAGAAAGAAATTGAAGCAAAATCAAATTAGTGTTTCGTAGAAATGATTTATATGTAACTCTTGAAAGTCAATATGTTTTGATTTTTTATGGGTCCCCCATTGCATTTTTGGGTTTTTAGATGACCCACAAAAAATAGTTAATATTGAAAAATGGTTAAATAAACAATTGAATGCTGATATTGTAAATCTCCAGAAGAGAAACAAAGTTAGTCAAATGGGCAACTCACTTAGAGCCTGCAGGCCCATTGTGATACCACTGTAAAACACGAGAAGCTTAGTGACTATTCTGCATAGAGCCATTTTGAAGTCCTTATGAAGCCTATGATTTGCTTTGTTCCTACACCGCATAGTTCCGTAAGAGAGCCAAGACCGTGTCTACCTACATATAAAGCCCGCTCTGCAGCTAAAGAAGAACTCTTCCTCTTTCTCATCTCTGCAACTTCTGCAACAAACATGGGAGATATGACCATCGAAATGTTCTATATTGAGAGGTTGAGCAGTTCTTCCGTTTTTTCATTATCAATTTGTGGCCATAGTAGCCTAGTTGTAGTACAATTGCCCTCGCCCAACCATGACCTATTGGCCTCTTGAATAATGTTACTTCTACTCCTTGATTTGCAGAATGCCATGGATACAGTGATGCCAGACATTCCCTGTTAAATTACCCACGAAAATCGGGGGAAAATCCCTCAACTACCCAATCTTAAAAATTTGTCCCACAAAATTCCCAATGAATTGAAAACCTATATTTCTGTACTAAAAAATTACCATTCATGTTACCTTAATATATAATATTCTTTCGAAATTCAATGGTTGGTAGATTACTCACAAATGGTCGTAACAGAATTTTAAAACATTTACCACATTCATAAATTATATTAAAACCCAAGATTTTGAAGAAACTCGTTTTGTGATTTTATGGTTGAATACTTTGTTGATTTTAACGTTGAAGCACTTGACTTTTTTTTTGATTCAAAAGCAACCGTTATTTTATATATATATGTAAATGTATAATTTAACATTTCATCAGATATTTGTTCCACTTTCTGCTTTAATCAGCACTTGAATTGGTTAAAGGGAGAAAATTGTCAAAATTGTCCTTATAATTTTTATATTTATACGTAAATTTACTCCACATCTTTAGAACGATTAATTTCGTAAGAGTGTCGAATATTCCTGAATAGTGATTAATTGTGCATCGATAATTGTTTTAAATGAGAATCCCTATTTTCCCCCTTTTAATAATTTTTCACTGCAAAATATCCCTAAAATAGGAAAATGACTCACAATATGTGATCACTGCATGGATATCCCAATCTTACCTCTGTTTTTACGCAGTGCAAGACTGGTACCTTTTCTGGCCAGCTAATTGGCTCTGAAATTTCCAATTTATTGAATTTTCGTGAGTTTTGCACAAAATTTAGAGATTTTATTTTTATGTTTTTTGGTGTAAAATCAACTATATTTTTATATAAAATTATCGAAAATAAATTGGAATAAAAAACTTTGCATATATGGCGAAAAATTCAGTGTGTTTGTCACTGTAAGGTGGCCATAATTCTCCTAAAGTTAACTTAGCTATTAACAGTTGAAGTTGAACGATTTGAAGAAATACATGATTAGTTGGAGTCACGAAAAAATCCAAACTACATACGACAGATCGTATCTCCAAAGAAAAAATATAAGAAAATTTCCTCGAATACGTCCTAGGTTATTTCATGTAACGAACCCATAAAAAAATTTGAAGCGAATCGAAATTGTGACACCAAATTTGGTGTCCGAAATGAAGACGGGCCTGCTATCATTTTTATTTAATTTTTTTTTTTTTAATTCCAAGTGTAAATCTAATTTTAATACACATATTTGTATGAAAAGTGGTAGCGAAGAGGGAAACTTTTTCAACATTACTTCGAAAATGCAAAGATAAAAAGCTTACCTTTCAAGTTATCAGCGTATTCTCCTAAATCAATTGATCTGGCCCAGCGAATGAAACGTTGATTTGTCCACACAATTGGATCAGTGTCCACATTTTCTGATTGTACACGACGCATAGCCAAAGTTTGACGATCATATTTCACAATACGAAGCACATGAATGCCTAAGGAAGACATAAAGAAAATGGTTTACAATGCAGGGACGCTAAAATGAGATCAAAATACGCAGCGCACGTAAACATAATTTTAGGTCGTGCATTGCGAATCGGGACACTACTTTTCTAGAACAGGTCGTTTTCCCCAAGATATTTTCGTTTTAAGTTTGCATTGCGAAGGAAAAAAGCAAACTTTCACATGGAAAATGTTACTCATACGCCAGATACGAGCATTAACGGGTACGGCCATGTACGATATGGCGTATGAGTAACATTATTTCCTGGCCCTATTTGATAAAAATATTTTACATTTTCAGTTAATATTTTTTGTTATTTATTATTGTATATGTATCCATCGGTTTTCATCGTTAGTAGCTTACTTTTTTTGCAAAACAAATGAGTATGTATTATTTTTTATTTTCCTTCCCTGCCAAAATTTGAACTTTTTTTTATAAAATAAAAATAGTAATATCTGGAGAAAATGAGCTGCTCTAGAAGCGGTATATTGATTCGTAATCTACGCTCCAATCCCAAGGTAAGCTTTTAATATTCGTCTTCAGAAACTAATTAAATGTTTAAAAAATAAATAAAATAGCTTTTATGAATAATACTCTAAAATGTTTACTCACCATGTACAATGCTCGCTTGATGGAATTTCCTCGTCACCCCCAAAAATTTCTCCAATTCCTTCTTCGACAGCGTATCGAGCATGCGCGCATCGACCAGCGAATGCAGAAACGAGTCAGCATATTGTGGCAGCCCAATGTCAGGTAGCCATTCGGATGCCACCCAGGTGTGTCCCAGCTGTGTGATCATGGGGTAGCGCACCATTTCCGGACGACGCTGCTCTTCAATTGCCAAGCGTAGCTTCTTGCGATGCATGGGATGCACTAATCCCAGGCCCGCCTCCAATTCACCATCATTCAGCTCAAGCAGTACTTTGCCGCTTTTCACATTCTCCGCACAACGCGTGCTGTACTGGGGCATGCCGAGCGCTACCTCTAACCAGGCGAGTACCTGTGAGGCACGCCACCTTTCCATTGGCAGTTGTGATGCGTCGCGCAACAGGCGCAATTTCTCAGCATAGCCCTCTTCGGAGAGTGGACTCCAAGAATAGTCTGCGTCTGAAAGATAAGGAGTTACTAGAATACACAATTTTTGTTATTAGTGGGTTAGTTTTTGTGCGAGGGTATTAGTGATTGATCTACACTTACACTCTGTAGCGCCATCTGCCGACAGAGCTTTATTTTTATTACGCGAACGTGCGAAAACACGAGAAATGCTACCCCAAGTGCCGCCGCGCCCATTACGCGCGCTTAATGTACCGGTTTTGGGCGCGAATTTGCGCGCAACTGCGCCAGGACCATCCGACTCCACGGGCGAGCCGAGCTGCTCCACAGATCTGATAGTGAAAAAATAATAAAAAATAAAAAATCAATAAAACGGATTCGTGTATTTTTAATTCATATACAAAACTTTACCTCGAATAGGCGGCAGAGTTCAAAGGCGACAAAGTTGGGCTACGCTCCTTTGGTGTACCATCTGCAAGAAAAATATGCACAGTTCAATATATAGTACATCTACACAGCTACCATCCAATGCTCACTCACATTGATACATATTTTGACTGGAGACCAATGAAATGCTGTCTGGGTCAACTGTTATGCATGGTCCATTCTCGCAAGTACCATCACTGAAGTTCAAATCTCCACCGGTGCTCTCACGGTCACTGCTATTCCGCAAACCCGAATCGTTTGAGCACGAATTGCGATCACCCGCCGTTGCGCCTGAGCCACCGCTCAAACTGCTGCTAAACGCCGACAATGAGTTCGAGTTGCCACGCCCACTATCATCTGTGCGCATGCCACTGTTCACAGTCACTGTTGTGGCCAGTTGATTTATCATACCCGAAGTGGCTGACGGTGGTGTAAGTGGAGCGAAGGAGAGCAAACTCTCTTGATCTGACAAACAGCCGGAAAGTTGGCGACGCGCCTCCTGCAACTGATCTTGCAGCCGCTGTAACTGTAAGTCGCGCGCATTCAACTGCTGTGCCAGCGCCAATGAACGTTCGGCTTCGTCGCGCGCCTGTTTCAACAATTGCCAACGTTCGCGCTCTCGATCACCTGTCAGTTTGGCATTATTCGTTTCAGTCTCGCGCACTCGATCTTGGAAATTTCGTATAAAGTCGCGCAGTTCCTGTTCTTTGTCCTGCAGCGAGGCGCAAAGTTGTTTCACCTGTGCAAGCAGTTCACTCTTGTCGCTACGCAGCTTCTTGCGTTCAATGCGTAGCGTCATTATTTGGGTTTTAGCCGAACGCAGCTCGGCTTCGAGACGATCAACGCGTTGCTGCGGCATGCCACCGCTGCCATCGGTTGAATGTGCATCGCCACAGCTATTCGAATCTGAGAGATCGACGCCGCCGACAGCGCCCTCTGGGGAATTTTCCAACAGTTTCCGAAGGCGATTGATTTCAGCGTTGAGCCGCTCATTTTCCTCGCGTAGTTTTATGGGAGAATCTGAAAATATAAATAAAATAGGTTTTTAAATTAATTTACACCAAGATAAGTACTAAAAGAAATATTTTTAAAATCTATTCTGCATATATTTATTACGCGAAGGGATTTTTTGTAAAGGTCATCAGATCTGCACCTTTCTGTCGATTTTCAAAAACGAGGTATCAAATTAATCGTTTGTCAAAAGTTAGTTGCCAGATTTTGAAAAGTTAAGTTCAAAATATTTAAAAAGTTAAACCAATCAATACAAAATGGGTATCAATTGAAATGGTTGTAACAACTGGTTTAACTTTTGAAATAATTTGAATTTATTTTATTTTTCGGCAAAAAAATTAAAAAAAAATCTATGGTAATTTTTAGCCACTTAAAATTTTCACATTATTACACTAAAACTGAAAGGGCTATAAACTCCAGAAAAATCTAAAACTTCTGAGAAATTTTGAAATTTGGATGAAAATTCGTTGCATTTTCTTATTTTTCTACAAAGTTTTTTAAACTCGGATTTATATGGGTGTTGTTGGAGAATGAACTCTATTTAATTGAAAATTCTTAAAAATAAATAAATAAACATAAGTGGAAAACAATATTTTTGACCCAAACTATATGACCAGTTTTTAATTTGCCCAAATGTATGTCCATTTGTTACTATCGAGTCCACATTTTTAACCATTTTACAAAAGCTATCTTGCCACTACTAATTTTAAATGTTCAGTTTATAAACAACCAAAAGTCCTTAAGTCCCATTCATAATTTATAAATAACTGTGCTCAAGTTTTCTACATCATTTTTTGAAAAGTGATCTGACTTAATCGCAACACCCTTATATTTAATGGCATCCTCTATTTTGCCAGATTGGCTCAAATTTTCGAGATAACGGTACTGGAAAGTTCCTGCGGGGCCGCTAAGATTCCGTTTCAAAACACTGGAATTAAGAATATTATCGATTCTATTTTTTATAATTACGGATAGATACATGTTTACTGGGTACAAATTTTGTGGTCAATAATTGTGAAGCCATCATTATGAAAATTTTGGGTTTTAAAATTTTTCGATTAACAAAGCTCAATTTAAATTTAGGTCGCTGATTTTGGGTGCTTCTTGTACTACCTAAAAAAAAACTGAACCGAAGCTTCTGGGTAGAGTAAGAAGTAGTAGCTCAGTTTCTACTCTATTTTTACATATTTTCGTGTTTAGCTATAATCTTTATAATAATAAATAGTACATTTTTTTAACAGCCTCTTTCCCTTTCCACTTTTATCTACTTATTTAAATAGTTGTATGATAATTTCTTATTACATAATCACGCCTCATATACAAAATATTCCATGAAATCTTTGCAAAGCTTAATGAAATATAAATGCAATTATTTCGACATCAACACAAAACTTCTCATTAACAAATCTAAAAGACAAATACATAGTCAAACATCAACATGGGACCTAACAACTAGAAATAAGCGAAAACAAACAAATCAAAGAACGGATACTTGAATGGCGTTGTTGTGCGAAGTCAGCAATGATCAACGAAATTAGCGCAAAATAAACTTCAACAATGACAACAAAAACCAGAATAAAGACGCTGCTAATTAAGAGCACATCAGCAATCTAAAATAATATGTAGCATCAAGGGTATGAAGGATATGCTTTGTAAACAAATATTTAAATATTCAACAATACATACCACACGCACAAATAAATTCATTAAATTGGCACATTTGTACTGTCAGAGAATATACACAATGGGCTTAAATGATTGCTTAATGGGTGGAATCGAAAGGCAAATATGCACAAGTGAGCAAATACAAGAACATTAATTGTAAATATGTCAATAATGATGAATTACTCGTACAATGTAATAAGATGTTAGCAGTGGTGTAGTCAAGGTAGGCGGACCTTTTGAGATACTTAACCATTGAGTGCCTTTTATATATGCAATTAACTCGGTGTATCAGTTATTCGAATTCAAGCCTGAAAGAAATGTTTGGTGAACGATAAATGACACTGAGGAGCATAGCACAACACCGAAACCGGTTTGCCTCCGTACAAAATTGATTTCAAACTACATCATCCTCTCATCCTGCCAGACGAATTCAACTGACTGTAGGTCATTTGCTTGAAATTTGGTGTAAATTAATAGCCTAATCGTATAAGCGACAAAATATTGATATCTTTTTTAAGTGTAACTTCTCTATCGGCGGCTGTGAAAACTCAGCATGGCGAATGCAACGGAAGGTGTTTGGGTGGCAGAAATGCCTTCTAAATGTTTTCTTTTATTTTAATAATAAAGTACATTAAAGGAACCTGCCAAACAACGGTATAAAGGTATAAAGGTAACCATGCAGCTGAAGAAACGGATAAACACAAAGAAAAAATAAAATAACATAAATGAACATAAAGACAAACACAAAGATGAAGGTAAATTTAAATTTAAGATAAGAACAAATAAGAATGTGGATATGAAGATAAAGAAAATAATAAAGATATAAATAAGGATAAGGTAAAAGCAAAAAAGAAAGAGGTAGAGATAGAGACAAAGAGTTAGGGACAAACATGGAGATAGAGATAGGAATAGAGATACAAAGAAAAGTGCATAAAAATGGCGCTATTATGCGCAAATTAAAACTCCAGTGAAAACCCGGTAGGCACTACAACCAACCGAAAGCAGGACGGAAGTACAAAAGATGTTCCATCGTCTGATCCTCTTCAAGGCAGGGTGTTTTTTTCTGCTTGATAAGTGCAAGTAAATAGATAGACACTCTGAGATTAAACGTAAACCTGCATCTCCTCGATGCCTTCAGTCATTGCTGAGCAAAGTATTCATCCCTTTTCTGATGGTGGCTTCGATGGCCGAAGAAGGCGCTATAACTAGGTGCGGAGCGAGGAATGTTTGGTCTGAGCCAACTCTGCTCAAACAGCCAGATGTCTCATTACCAGGTACTCCCGAAATGACCTTGCAGCCCTGAGTAAAGCAAGTTCGAGGCTAACCAATGCCTTAAGTGCAGCTAGGCTGTCACTGCAGACAAGTAAACTCCTTCTCCTCCACCTAAGGATTTATCACCACGTAGGTCATGGAAGTAAGGTTTGCAAATACGTCAGCCCATAAGATCATTATCTTCAATTAAAACTCCAGCACTTGACCCAGAGTCAGTTTTGGAGCCATCAGTAAAGAGTGGCGTACAATAATATGGCATTGAAAGAACACAATTGACCATATCTCTGCCTCCCTCCAGCAATTACTGCCTCGCCCCACTCCGTCTTATACCAACATCCGTTTCTTTTTAACCTGCAGGTGGCCCACGTATGAAGACTCAAAGAGACAGTAAGTGCAGCGGTGCATCGAGAGTAGCGCCAGGTGTTGTAGAGAAATCTCCAGCACGGGGCGATTGTTCTTTGAAGTTTAGTAAGCAGATTTCCCACGCTTACGATTCAGAGTCTACTCCACCATATCACTGACGCATAGCGATTATGGGTCTAAGCATAGAGGTGTAAATCCAAAAGATTTCCTTTTGTGTCAGACGCCACGTTTTGCCATAAGGGTGGCCCTTATTTTTAAAAGAGAGAACAAAAAAGATTCACAGGGGGTGGAGACCGAGAATCCAACCACTATAACTTTTCTCCATATAACTAAGGGCCACATTAATGTACATAAATATGTATGCACATATTAGTGTGAATGCTTAAAAGCTGGTACAATGCCTTTTCAGATTACGAATGATAATGCATATAATAGCGGTAACGCTTTTAGTAGTGAATAAGTAAGAAGGGTAGATATTACTTTTGCATTATTATGTACATACATACGTAAATATATGTATTTAAAAAGAAACTCGATGAATGAATTTCCATACCATCCCGGTATTATTTTGCAAATCCGTTCACCTGCATGAATGGCTGAACATAGCGGCGACTTAACGTAGCGATTACTATCGCAACTATTGCCGCCATTGAAATTGTTGTTAAGGTTACCTTGCTACTGCGTTCATTTGCTACTGTCGTTAGTCGCTACTGCTTTTGTTGCTCTTGCTAAATGGCAAAGATTGCATTCGCGGCCATTTTAACGCAAACTTTTGTTTATCCATCTGAATGTTCTTCTACTGTCAGTCATCACCCTTGAAATATGTAGTTGCAGCTCCAGAGGTCTGTTCCATTTCCAGAATCATTAATTCAACAATGAAGTTAGTTTTTGTAAAAAGACATTATCTATCAACAACGCGGCTAGAAGCGGATACTGTTTTTTTTTAAATTAATCCCGGTATTAAGTCGTGTTGCTAATTTAGACGAACCAAAGGAGACACAGCTAAATTCTGCATTAATTTTTGGAGGTGGTCAGCTGCGTATCCGAGCACCAATAATTGTAGGTTTCCTCTTAATCGAAGCCATTGGTTGCTGATTGCATTGTCGGTGATTTAAAGGGCAATACTGGCTAAGACAGTAAATAGTCTTTCGTAAGACGAATGAAAGACAGATGGGAAGCTAATTCGAAAGGCTTTTGTTATTCTAGCATAAAGGTCTTAGAAAAAAAAGCTCTCTCATTCACTACTCGTGGTGAAAATCTATTTTGAGAGAAAGCACTTGTACGCCATTCAGCTCGCGTCGCTCCAACAGTCGCAATGGTCTAGTGAGCAGAGCATAGACGTGCCGTTCGAGAGATTACGAGTTCGAATCTCGGGCGGCGGCACTTTTTTTCTTTTTTTTATTTCATTTTTTTTTTTTTAATCAATTAAAAAAGAAATTTATTTGAATTTCATTTAATTTTTAAAACCATTTATTTATTTATTTTTGCTTTATTTTATTTTTTTTATTACAATTTCTTTTATTTATTACTTTTGATTGTTTTAAAAAGATAAATATACACGTTTTTTAAATTTAAGTTAAATAAAAAAACTTAAAGGGCGAACAGCATGACGCTGAGACGTCCTCGTTAGCAGATCTTGCCTATAAGATATTATTAGGTGTTTCACAAGGTGTTGTAGGTGTCGTATGTCTTAAAGTTTTTAACGGCTA